TCCACGTTCCCTCGTTCTCCAGGAACCTGGTTGGTGTCGGCCGTCTTCAGGACCTCGGCGTCACCACCACGTTCCCCGTGCACGAGCGGTTCGCTGTCTGTACCGAGTCAGTCTCAGGTTCCCCTCTTGCGACGTTCCCCCGGGACCCGGTGTCTGGTCTGTTTACCCTCGACACCGCTTCCCCCCCGGTTGGTGCGTCCTCCCAGGTCGCTGCAGCTTGCTCGTGTCGGTCCCTCACTCACCCGTCCCTTCTCTGGCACCACCGCTTAGGTCACCCTGCTCTCCCACGTCTGCGTCACATGTCTCAGCACGGTCTTGTCTTAGGCCTCCCCGCGTCGCTCCCTGCCCTCCCACCCTCGACTGCGCCACCGTGCACGCCTTGCATCGAGGGCCGGCTCCGCCGTGCTCCTCACTCCTCCTCGCTGCGTCCTGCTACTGCCCCCCTTCAGACCCTGCACCTGGACGTTTGGGGCCCGGCCCCCGTCCCCGGACCGCGCGGTGAGCGCTACTTTCTTGTGCTCGTCGACGACTACACGCGCTACACCACGGTGTTTCCCCTGGAGCGGAAGGCCGACGTGCCCGACGTTCTTCTCCCGTGGGTTGTGGCTGCACGTCTTCACCGTGGTCTCCCTGTGTTGTGTCTCCACTCTGACCGTGGCGGTGAGTTCGCCTCTGGTCGGCTTGGACAGTTCTGTCGTGCGGAGGGCATCACCCAGTCGTACACCTTGCCGGACTCGCCACAGCAGAATGGGGTTGCTGAGCGCCGCATCGGTTTGGTCATGGAGGTGGCTCGTACCTCCATGATCCATGCGGGTGCACCCCAATTTCTGTGGCCGTTCGCTGTCCGCTACGCTGCTCACCAGCTTAACTTGTGGCCCCGCTCCCAGCGGCCGCAGGTTTCGCCGACCCTCCTTTGGACCGGGTCCCCCGGTGACGCGTCTGCGTTCCACGTCTGGGGTTGCCTTGCGCACGTTCGTGCCTCTGGTACGGACAAGCTCACGGCCCGCACTGTCCCCTGTGTCTTCCTCGGTTTCCCCCTAGACTCGTCTGACTGGCTCTTCTACCACCCGCCGTCTCACCGCTTCCTCCACTCCCGTGACGTCACCTTTGACGAGTTTGTCTCCTTCTACCGCTGCTTCCCTCACCGAAGTCTCCCGGTTGCCCCGCCCCTCTTCCTTGCTCCCTCTCCCCCGGTAGCCCCTGCTCCTCTCCCGCCTCGTCCTGCCCCGTCTGGTGTCTCTCACGTCACTCCCCTCCCGTCGGTTGTCCCAGTTGAGGAGTCAGCTGACTCTGGTGGTCCCCCCGGCCCGTCCCTGCCGCGTCCCCCTTCCCCGGTGTCTCCGCCTTCCCTGCCGCTGCCACCGGCGCCACCGCCGCCGCCGCAGCCGCTGCAGCCGCCGTCGCCGCCGCCGCCGCTGCCGCCCTTGGCCCCTGGGGGTGCTGGCGTCGAGGAGGGTGTTCGTCCTGCCGCGCCTGGAGTGGTCTGTCCCGGCGGGCCTGGGGGTGCCGCTGGTGCTGGAGGGTGTTCTCGCTTTGGGGGTGTTGGTTCTGGGGGTGCTGCCGTTGAGAGTTCTGCCGGTCCGAGGGTCGCGGCCCAGCCGCCGCAGCAGCCCCAGCAGCCGTCGCCGCCGGTCTCCGCTCTCCGTCTGCTCGGCCTTCCCTCCCCTGACCGCTCGCCGGTGTCTCCCCCACCGCCTGCTGACCTTCCTGTCTACGGTCCTGTGTTCCCGCCGCCGGACTCGTCTCCGGCCCGTCTTCCTCCTCGTTTCCCTCCTGTGTCCCCTCCGCTGTCTCCTGACCCTACACCTCCGTCCCTTGTTTGGTCTCGTCGTCCCTCACGTGCCCGTCCCGTCTCTCCTGTCCTGCCCTCCCACCCTATGTTGCTCCGTTCCCACTCGTCTCGTCCTCCCCTCCTCCCGTCACCTCCTCCCTCGTCGCTTGCTGTTGCACCTCCTCCGTTCTCTGACTACCTCCGTGCCGCTCGTCCCCTTGTCCCTCGGGTTCTTGCCTCTCTTGTTACCGACCCTTCTGTTCCGGTCTCGCGCCTTGACGCGCTTGTCGCTGACTTCGCCTCTACCCGCCGCCTTGACTACGCTACCGCTCTGGTCTCTGACCCTGCCCGTCCTCCGTCCGTCGGGGGTGCTCCTGCCCTTGGCAGTGACGTCTTAGAGGACAGGCAGTACGAGCTTGCTTTCCTTTCCGAGGCTGCTCCCCATCTCTGCTCCATGCTGTTAGTCCCTGAGGGTGACCCAGACGCCTTCGACATCCCGACCCCTCGCACTTACGCTGAGGCCACCTCGGGACCTAAGGCCTCTCAGTGAATAGCTGCCATGGAGCAGGAGATGGCATCTTGGAGGTCCACCGGCACTTACGTCGACGCAGTTCCCCCGCCTGGGGTGAACGTAGTCGATGGTCGGTGGCTCTTCAAGGTGAAGCGCCCCCCTGGAGAGCCGCCTGTCTTCAAGGCGCGCTACGTGGCCAGAGGCTTCAGTCAGCGTGAGGGGGTTGACTTCTTTCAGACCTTCGCCCCGACCCCGAAGATGACCACTCTTCGGGCGCTGCTACACGTAGCAGCACAGCGCGACTACGAGCTTCACTCCCTCGACTTCTCTACTGCCTTTCTTCAGGGCAGCCTACACGAGCAGGTCTACCTGCGCCGACCACAGGGCTTCACTGGTACCTTCCCCCCTGGGACCCAGTGGCTTCTCAGGCGCCCGGTCTACGGCCTGCGTCAGGCTCCTCGCGAGTGGCACGACACGTTGCGGGCCACGTTAGCAGACCTGCAGTTCTTTCCGTCCTCTGCTGACCCGTCGCTTTTTGTGCGTTCCGGCCAGACTCCGTTCTACATCCTTGTCTACGTAGACGACCTGGTCTTTGCTACTGCTGACAGGGACGCACTGGCCTCTGTGAAGGCCGAGCTGCTGAAGAGACACACCTGCACTGACCTTGGAGAGCTGCGTCGCTATCTTGGCCTGCAGATCTCTAGGGACAGAGCAGCACGCACGATCACTCTGACACAGTCACACCTGGTGCGTCAGGTCCTTCAGAGGTTCGGTCTTCAGTTCTCCTCCGCACAGCCCACACCTCTTCCAGTAGACCATGGGCTCTCCGCTCCTGTTCCTGAGGAGTCAGTAGAGCCCAGTGGCCCCTACGCAGAGCTGGTGGGTTGCCTTATGTACCTGATGACCTGCACTCGCCCAGATCTCGCATGCCCTCTCAACATCCTGGCTCGCTTTGTGGCCACAGGCAGACACCGACCACAGCACTGGTCGGCCGCTAAGAGGGTTTTGCGATATCTAGCAAGTATATCGGGCATGGGGTTAGTGCTAGGAGGACGCAGGCCAGTGGTCCTCACTGGGCACATAGACGCTTCTTGGGCAGACGACTCTGAGACTCTTAGGTCGTCTCAGGGCTACTGTTTCAGCCTTGGTTCGGGTGCTATCTCTTGGAGATCCACTCACTCGTCGTCTGTTGCCCAGTCCAGCTGTGAGGCTGAGATCTACGCTGGTGCCATGGCGGCACAGGAGCTCCGCTGGCTGACCTTCTTGCTCACTGACTTAGGTGAGCGGCCTAGCTCTGCCCCGGTCCTGTACGCTGACAACAGGGCCATGATTCTCCTGTGTCAGGAGCCTCGACTTGAGGGCCGGGCGAAGCATATCCAGCTGCGGTACTTCCTCCTGCGCGAGCTACAGCAGCGTCGCCAGGCCCGCGTCGTTCACTTGGCCTCCGGTGCCAACACAGCTGATATCTTTACTAAGGCGCTTGCGCCTAGAGATCATCAGCGGCACTGTGTACAGCTTGGTCTTGTTCCTGTAGCTTCTCACTTGTTAGGACCCTGATTGTGTACTCTCTACTATATATATACCTGTCTGACTGGCCTTGTGGCCTTACCTCCAGTGGCTGGACTAGTAGTGCCGCCCTGGTTGGTTTTAGTCTTTTTTGTTCTCTTGCTGACTGGTCTCCAGACCCCTGTCTCAGTGGTTGGACTAGTAGTGCCACCCTGGGCTGTGTGCTTCTTGCTTAGCTCCACCCCTTTTCTAGCCTAGGGGGTGTGTCAACTTATACATATTATCTATGTAGAAGTTATAGGCTAGACTAGGTGTGTGCTTCTAGTGAGTACAACCAACTGGTATTTGTTCTATGTTTCTCTTCCTAGTAGTTTATTCGTTTCTACGTTATCATATCATTCAGTTCTCACTTTAATAAGTAGAACCAATTCAATCAGCGTTGCACGAATTTGAAACAGTGGCGCAAACTCTGATTCACAAATTATAACTTAAAGCGCATCAAAATAAAGTAAATGCATATGTACATGAAAGACAACTATGTAACTATTTCTAAATGTAATAGATGCAATGACATTGTATGTACTTTTATTAATGCACTGATATGACATACACCATCGATTGAATATTTCACATAGAATATATGAAATAACTATGATATTTTAACAGATACTTTCACATCAAGGCTTGATAATTAGCTTAAGCATATCTATTCTACTCATATATGTACATATATAGGCTCCGCAACCCTAAGACGATTGCGTCATCTCTTGTTTTTAATGCAATAGAGCTCCGCGACCCTAAGACGATTTTGTCGCCCCTTGTTTTGCTTTGAAACTGCCTCGGCCTTCCTTTTCCCCTTCCCCCGAAACCAGCTGTGAATCGCATGCAGCAGGAGCATCGCGCACCAGCTGTTCTTGCGGACCGGACTGGTGCGCACCCGTCTGATGCGATGCATCGGAAAATTGTGCACTGTACCCTGTCCTAAGAGTGTGTGACATCCGCAGTGAAAATGCCATACGAACGTACTTCTCAAACAGGTTGAACATGGTACAGCACGATTCAGTCGAAAGTAGTGCGGTTGATGGTGACCGTTCGAACGGGTTGATGTCACACGCCCTAAGGTGTGGTGGGGAGAAGTATGGGCGAAGGAACATTTTGCCTGTCACGTGTCTCCAGTGTCTCACAATGCACGAGTCTGCTTGTCTTGAGCTTGTGGAGAGGGACAATTTATGGGAGGAGCTTGCTCCTTCATTCATCAATCTGAAAACAGCATCCAACAGCACTCATTTCTCTTCACAGATACCACTTTGCCTGTCAGAAAATTAATCGTGGCCAACACCCTTCTCACTCGTCTTGCAAGTCCTCCCATCCCAGCAGCCCCAGGCGTTCACGACCAGCGCTTGCACCCCGAACAGCCCTCACCATGCACCCACATGACCGTCCAGGCCTGCGCGTCCCCATCCTCACCATCAGCCACCCACCTGTTCCGCCACCCCACCCTAGACGCATCCATATGTACCCCACGCAAACACTCCATCAACACCCTCCCCCAAATCACCACCTCTATGTGCCCTCCCTAGAGAGCATACGCCCTCTTCGCCCCCTCTTCGCCCCTCTACGCGTCCGTGGCGGTTTCCTGCAGCTCCTCGACGAGCTTGTAGCACTGCGCGAGCAGCGTGGAGCAGAGCGCCTGCCCAGCGGGCACCTTGGTGGAGAGCGAGCCGCCGAAGATGCCGTCCTCGCGGTCCTTGTCGATGGCGTCAAGCTGCACCTGGTACACGTGCAGGTCCTCGCTCGCGTGCCGCACGTTGTGCTGCCGCATGTCCGACAGCTTGCGCCGGATGCCCACCAGGTGCGAGTAGATGCCGCGCATCTGCGGGTTCATCTCCGGCGCCGAGTTCAGTAGCTGGCGGAGCAGCTCTGCGGAGCGGGGGCGGGGGCGGGGGAGGGGGGAAGGGGGGAGGTGGGCGGAGGGATGGCGGAGAGAAAAAGCGGTAAGTTCAATGGAGTGGAGCGACATGAAAGGTTGAAGAGTTTCATGACAAAGATTTCCGAGAAATTCGCCTGTTATGTCTACATCTCGGCAAAGCAAACTCACATGAACAAAACAATTCCATGAAAATAGTACCTCCTTCTGTTCCGCACGCTTCACGGAAGAGCTGCGGCAGCGCGATCCCACAAAAGTCCCGAGCGACAGAAAAGGAAGCTCACCATAGACTTGGAACAGTATGTTGGCGCATTGCGCTTGCCCCGAGGGGATGTGGTTGACGTCGCCGCCGAAGATGCCGTCCTTGCGTCCGGCGTCGATGGCGTCGACCATGAGCTGGTAGTGATGCACGTCGTCCAGCGCGTACGAGCGCGACGCCTTGAGCCTGATGAGCTTGTTCTTGATGCCCGCCAGCATCGTGTACGTCTGCCGGATCTCTGGCGACAACTCAGGCGCCGCCGCCATCAACTCGCTCACCAGGTCTGCAAACAGGAGAGAAGGACAAGGCACGAAGACGGCACGCGCTTGGAACGCAATAATCGACAGCAGCGGCACATGCGAAAAGAGCGTGGAGGCGGAAGGAGACAAAGTCGTGGATAGGGGCGTACCGTAGGACTCGTCAAGCACATCGAGGCAGAGCGCTTGACCCTCGGGAACGCCGGACTTGAGAGATCCGGCGAAGATGCCGTCCTTGCGGCGCGAGTCGATGGCGTCGAGCATCTGCTGGAAGTGGTGCACCTCCTCCTGGCTGTGCTGCTTCGGCGCCTCCTTCATCGCCTTGAGCTTGTCGCGGATGCCGACCAGGTTGGTATAGATCGACAGCACCTCCTCTGTCATCTTGTTCTGCTCCGCCACTGCTGCCATGTTCACCAACAGAGCTAGGTGGAATTGCACTAATCTCGGAACGAGAGTACGCTAGAGAGCTGAGATAGCTTGGTCGCAAGAAACTAAGCGGGAGTGAGATTCAGTTGAGCAAGAAACGGAAATCGAAGCAAAAACTACCTCGTCTTGGCGTCTGGCTGAATTTCAATGTTGCATCCGCCAGCGCCAGTCTCCGCAAAGTCTTCCGCAAAGCCCTGGGAAGAATCTCGTTCGGTCACAGAACCCCTGGACCAGAATTACCCGTTACTGGGCGGCATCGAGTGCACTTTACCCAACATAAGCAATGAATCAGTTAGTGCGACCTAAATGAGACGAGTGTAGTCTAGAGAAGAAAGTAGAAAATAACCTAGAAATAGCGGAAAATATATATATATATATATAATCAAATTACTGTGCTAGCACAGTTAGAGGTGTGCTATCCATAGAATATCAGCTGAAAAAAACCAGCATCTTTCGAATTTGAGTGTGCTGCTGGTTTTTACACCCACTATCCCCGTTCACTATGCTGGCAAAAGCCCCGGTCTCCCCAATTTATCCAGATACTTCCCCCACCTGCGCCACACTTCCCCCCTCCCCCCGGCGTCACGCGCACTTCGCTGAGTTCATGGGGAGGAAGAAACCCTGAACATTCCATTCCATGCATGGGGCATCGCGGTCATGGACATCTGAGCTGGCTAATACAGCCTGCGTGGCGCCCGTAGAAAGGCAGACATGCCTCATCTAGGCTAGACCCGCAATACACTGCTGATGTGGAGAGCCAGTCACACGCCATGTCACTGCTGCTGTGTTTGTGCCATGCCTCATCTTGTCAGCTCCACGATAGAGCGTGTGCTGACGAGGGGGCCACAGTTGCCGATTCCGATTCCCGATTCCTGAGATTTTTGCCATTTTCACTTGGAATTGGAAAAATGCGACGAAACATAAGTTTCACGCACTGCGATATGCAAATTAGTCTTACATAACATTGACACAAAAACCCACATCAGATTGTAACAGATTATATTTAAGGTGTTAAATTATATATTTGAGATATATATTATGGTAGGCTGGGTAGGTATTACTGGATTCTACTGTATAGGGTACAACCCCCCTTCTTGTATCCCTCTCTCTTCTATTCCAATCCTCTTTTCTCTCGACATTTTCTCCTAGCACCTAAAACCTCATGCCATTCCATGGCTCCTACTCCCAGCCTGCAATCTATTCTAGTATTCTAACATGGTTTCATAGGAGGTTGCTCCTCGTGAGCCTGCTTATCACGCTTCCGCCGCGCACTCCTCCTCTCCTTCTCGCGCTGACATGGTGGCCGCTCTCAAAACTAGAATTTTAATGAATGATAGAGTTAGAGAGTACATGCACATCTACCTAAATGTTGTACCCTCTAGGAGGTTACCCTATACAGTCTATACAAACATGATCAATAATACATGTTTGACACACCCCCTGAACTGCATAGGGGAATGTCCTAGACAAGCAGCTCAGGGCGGCACTACTAGTCCAGCCTCTGAGACAAGGGTCTAAAAGACCAGTCAGAAGGAGTACAGACAAGACAAGAACAAGTACAGGGCGGCACTACTAGTCCAACCACTGTGAGAGGACACAAGTCCAGTCTGAGTGTACACATATATATAGGACAGTACAAAGTCAAGGCCCGAGTAAGTGAGGGACTACAGGAACCAGACCAAGCTGTACACAGTGCCGCTGATGATCTTTAGGCGCAAGCACCTTCGTAAAGATATCAGCTGTATTGGCACCGGAGGCCAAGTGTACTACGCGAGCCTGGCGACGCTGCTGTAGCTCGCGCAGGAGGAAGTACCGCAGCTGGATGTGCTTCGCTCTACCCTCGAGTCGAGGCTCCTGACACAGGAGGATCATGGCCCTGTTGTCAGCGTACAAGACCGGGGCAGAGCTAGGGCGCTCACCTAAGTCAGTGAGCAAGAAGGTCAGCCAGCGGCGCTCCTGTGCCGCCATGGCACCGGCGTAGATCTCAGCCTCACAGCTGGACTGGGCAACAGACGAGGAGCGGGTAGCTCTCCACGAGACAGCACCTGAGCCAAGGCTAAAACAGTAGCCCTGGGAAGACCTGAGCGTCTCGGCGTCGTCGGCCCAAGAAGCGTCTGTGTGTCCAGTAAGGACCACTGGCCTGCGTCCGCCTAGCACTAACCCCATGCCCGATGTACTTGCAAGATAACGCAAAACCCTCTGAGCAGCAGACCAGTGCTGAGGTCGGTGTCTGCCTGTGGCCACGAAACGAGCCAGGATGCTGAGAGGGTATGCGAGATCTGGGCGAGTGCAAGTCATCAGGTACATGAGGCAACCCACTAGCTCAGCGTAAGGACCACTGGGATCTGCCGACTCCTCAGAAACTGGAGCGGAGAGTCTGTGGTCCAGAGGAAGAGGGGTGGGCTGTGCGGAGGAGAACTGAAGGCCGAACCTCTGAAGGACCTGACGCACCAAGTGTGACTGAGTCAGGGTGATGGTGCGCGCGGCTCTGTCCCTGGAGATCTGCAAGCCAAGGTAACGGCGCAGCTCTCCAAGGTCAGTGCAGGTGTGTCTCTTCAGCAGCTCTGCCTTCACGGAGGCCAGTGCGTCCCTGTCAGCTGTGGCAAAGACCAGGTCGTCTACGTAGACAAGGATGTAGAACGGAGTCGGGCCAGCACGAACGAAGAGCGAGGGGTCAGCAGAGGACGGAAAGAACTGCAGGTCAGCAAGGGTAGCACGCAGCGTGTCGTGCCACTCACGAGGCGCCTGGCGCAGGCCGTAGACTGGGCGCCGCAGAAGCCACTGGGTCCCAGGGGGGAAAGTGCCAGTAAAGCCCTGAGGACGACGCAGGTAGACCTGCTCGTGAAGGCTGCCCTGAAGGAAGGCAGTGGAGAAGTCGAGGGAGTGAAGCTCGTAGTCACGCTGAGCCGCTACGTGTAACAGAACCCGAAGAGTAGTCATCTTCGGTGTAGGAGCGAAAGTCTGAAAGAAGTCCACCCCCTCGCGCTGACTGAAGCCTCTAGCCACGTAGCGCGCCTTGAACACAGGCGGCTCTCCAGGAGGGCGCTTCACCTTGAAGAGCCAACGGCCATCGACCACGTTCACCCCAGGTGGGGGAATTGCGTCGACGAAGGTGCCGGTGGATCTCCAAGATGCCATCTCCTGTTCCATGGCAGCTATCCACTGAGAGGCCCAGGGTCCCGAAACCGCCTCAGCGTAAGTACGAGGGGTCGGGATTTCGAAAGCGTCTGGGTCACCCTCAGGGACTAGTAGCATGGAACAGAGATGGGGAGCAGCCTCGGACAGGAAAGCAAGCTCAAACTGGCGGTCCTCCAGGACGTCACTGCCGAGGGCAGGAGCACCCCCGACAGACGGAGGACAGGCAGGGTCAGAGACCAGAGCGGTAGCGTAGTCAAGGCGGCGGGTAGAGGCGAAGTCAGTGACCGCAGCGACAAGGGCGTCCAGACTCGACACGGGAACAGACGGGTCGGTAACGAGAGAGGCAAGGATCCGAGGAACAAGAGGACGAGCGGCACGAAAGTAGTCAGACAGAGGAGGAGACGCAACGACAAGAGAGGACGGAGGAGGAGACGGGAGGAGGGGAGGACGAGACGCGTGGGACCGGAGCAACATAGGGTGAGAGCGCGGGACGGGGGAGACAGGACGAGCACGGGAGGGGCGGCGAGACCAGACGTGAGAGGGAGGCGTCGGGTCAGGAGACAGAGGAGGGGACACTGGTGGGGAACGAGGGGGAAAACGAGCCGGGGACGAGTCCGGCGGAGGGAACACGGGGCCGTAGACGGGAAGAGGAGGAGACGGCAGGTGAGGAACAGGCGCAGGGTCAGGGGACGGAAGGCCGAGCAGACGGAGGGCAGACACCGGCGGGGACTGCTGCTGCAGCGACACAACACCAACGCCAGGGCCACAAGCTGCGCGACGGCTACCTCCCGAACCCTCCACACCGGCACCCCCAGAAGGGACACCCCCAGAGCCCGAAACCCTGCCAGCACCGGTACCACCCCCAGGCCCGCCGGAACAAGCCACGACAGGAGCCCCGGGACTAGGACCCACCTCAACGCCAGCACCCCCAGAGTCCACAAACAGCGGCAGCGACGACGGCGGCGGCGGCGGCGGCGGCTGCAGCGACGGCCGCGACGGCGGTGGCGGCGGAGAGGATGGCTGCAACGGCGGCGGCGGTGGAGACGACGGCTGCAGTAGCTGCGGTGACGACGGCTGCGGAGGCGGTGGAGGAGGAGACACCGGGGGAGGGACAGACGGCGAGGACTGCGCCGGAGGACTACGAGAGTCAGAAGACTCGTCGACCGGGACGACCGACGGGAGGGGGGTGACGTGAGACACACCAGAGGGGGCCGGACGGGGGGGCGGGGGGGGGGGAGGGGCAGGGACCACCGGGGAAGGAGTGACCAGGAACAGGGGGGAGTAACCGGGGGACCACGGTGGGGGAAGCGGCGGTAGAAGGAGACGGACTCGTCAAAGGTGACGTCGCGAGAGTGAAAGAAGCAGTGAGACGGCGGGTGGTAGAAGTGCCAGTCGGACGCGTCAAGGGGGAAACCGAGGAAGACGGAGGGGAGGGTGCGGGCAGTGAGCTTGTCCGTGCTAGAGGCACGAACGTGAGCAAGGCAGCCCCAGACGTGGAACGCAGACGCGTCACCAGGGGACCCGGTCCACAGAAGGGTCGGCGAAACCGGCGCCCGCTGGGGGTGCGGCCACAGGTTAAGCTGGTGAGCGGCGTAGCGCACGGCGAACGGCCACAGAAAATGGGGTGCACCGGCGTGGATCATGGAGGTGCGAGCCACCTCCATGACCAAACCGATGCGTCGCTCAGCGACCCCATTCTGCTGCGGGGAGTCCGGCAGGGTAAACGTCTGGGTGATGCCCTCCGCACGACAGAAGCAACCAAGGACACCTGAGGCAAACTCGCCACCCTGGTCGGAGTGGAGGCGCAAGGCAGGGAGACCGCGGTGGACGCGAGCAGAGACAAGCCAGGGGATGAGAACGTCAGGCACGTCGGCCTTCCGCTCCAGGGGAAAGACAGTGGTGTAGCGCGTGAAGTCGTCGACAAGCACTAGGAAGAAGCGCTCGCGACGCGGCCCATGGACCGGGGCG